AGCCAAAACAACAAAAGATACATAGCAGATGTCTATGGGCTGGTACACACATTAACGAAGGAAAATGTAAAATGAAGGGTTCAGAGCAATAAACGGACACTAGTAAGGCTTAAAGCACCTGATCGAAGCATCACTCTCCGCACCAAAATTTATCCTTGCAGAGACACTGAGGTAAAAATGTTCTTCAAACTGCGTATAATAGACTGAGCCATTGAATTGCCGGAGTTCAAGTGTAGATATGAATGGTTGCCCTGTCGTTGCATTTGATAAACATACATCTACTGCTGGACTTGTAGCCAGAAATATAAGCTCTCGCATCTCTATAGTATTAGCATCAGATATAACAATTGTACCCCAGTGAGTAGCCCCAAAGGAAAGGTCAAATTTTGGATAAACATTGTTATTATCAAAGTTGCCATACAAAAATGTCGCCCGCAGCAGGTACCTTGTCCTACTGACAACATTAAGCGTGTAGCAGTATTTTCGAGAATCAGCAGGAAAGTGTCGCAGTGTTGTGTACTGCTTTCGGGTCTCATTGACAACGGATATAGTGCTTGTTTCCCCAAAAGAAAGTTTATCATCAGCAGTCCAACGAAGACCGAGTTCATCGGTGAAATTTACTTTACCTCCGCAGTCCAAACTAACAAAACCTGCTTAGCATGACAAATATTGTAAGAGCGCAGATGAAGTAATTAATAGCAAATTGCAAAATCTAGCACGCAAGTTTCAATAGAGATAAAATCAAGAATCTCCACGAATCAAGTTCCTATCACGAATCGTGATATTTATCAAGGATGGATCTTGGTCTTGCTATGACTCATTTGTTGTTAGTGTAAGCATTATGCAACAAGCGCTCCATTGAAAATCATAGCTGGGTGTGAAAAACGATAGTAAATGGTTTCATTTCCTCAGGTGGATTCAAAGTGTACATACAAAGCTCTACAGGAAAAGAGAATTGATGAGGAGTTCTTGACTCGGGCTCCGAAGTAACCCTTAGGTGCTCATACAGAAGATCTTAAAACGAAATAATTAATACAGCCAAGAAGCATATATTAACAAAAATACAACCAATCAGAATGCCGAAGAGCTTGGGTGGTAGAACAGGTACAGTTAAACTTGAAACTATCACTCTGTACCAATACTGGTAGTAAAGTGAAGAAGCTTCAATCTTCAAAGGGACCAAATGAAGCGAACAAGTAGTGAATAGAAGCGAGCGAAACAGAGATTGCGCGGAGATGAGAACTACCTGGGCTTTGAGCAGAGGAAAAACGGGAGAGGATTAAGAGTAAGAAAGGAAGAGAGGATCGGAGCAGTATCCTGCCCTCCATTTCTACTTTGGAAAGCTTCACTGAGAATATTAGACCATAAAAATGGTGGAAAGGGAAGGAACCCAACAGAGAAAGCGTCCCTCTTTCACTCACTCAAGTGTGGAGCAAAAGCAAGTCGAAAAGCAGGAACAGGGGAATCACAATGAAGCAACAATATACCTAACCTTCGATTATTTGAAAATTTTTCAGATTGTGAAAAATAAAATATGAAGCAGTTAAAAAGGAAAAGAAAGAGCTTGAGATGAGAGTTGAGGCACAGAGAGTGCGGGGGGTGAGAGTGAGATAGAGGCAGAAGGAGGTTTCCGGGACAGGGCAGGCAATCGTTGTCGTTGCGGATAAAGCATTTGTGGGGCCCACAGACTCTTCGGGGGAATGTATCATAAAATATTTATTATTTCATTTCTAGATTTTTAAAAAGCAGCAAATTTAAATACTACTATCTCTTTTTTTTTTAATGTAAAATTTTATTTAACTTTTATTTTGGTTTTAAATATAAGACTCTAATATATTTTATCTCTAATATTTATGTATTTTTTTCTAACTTAGTTCTTTTAATAATAATAATTCTAACCAATACACTTGATTAGCAATTATATTTTAAAAAAATAACACATATTTATTACAAATAACTAACTTAACTTATTTTCTTAATCTCCTCAAATTAGTCAGTTAATTTTTATAATTAGGATTAGAGGTAGTATAATATTATTTATATTATTGTTATTTGATAGATTCCTTCCAATTAAAATATACGGTCAGCAAAATTAACAAGATCTTTTTTTTTCCCCCAAACAAAATACCAGGCATGCAATTACTTATACCCTCGTTACCGGAATCTCCGACTTAAACGATACAGTGATAGAAATATAATTCTGAATAACAAATAACAAAATTCGTGTATAATTATTGTATTATTTTTAAAAACGTGCATTATTATGTTATTAGTTATTACTAAAAATACACACAGGTTACTTTGTTTTCCTTTTAAAACTAATAATAGTTAATATAGAAATTTGATTTTTTCCCCTATTTGATCAGTGGTTTTTTTTTAAGATTTAGAACGAAAAGGGTTTTGGTCTTTCTTAATAAGTGCGTTTTTCACGATTTAAACTTATGTTTTATTTTTTATAAGAGTGGAGTCACTTATCACCTTAACAAATAACTTGTTTGTGAAATTTAAAGTTTTTTTATTTGAAGAAACAGCAGAAGGAAGATCAAAATTTGCGACCTTTCTCTTATTGAGGAATTTATATCCGATTATGTGAAGGCGCCAATTGGCTGGAAAATTGAAGCTGAATCATGAAATGAGCCATTCCTGGTAGGTCCTGCTGCTGGCCTAGTGGGGTTACGCTACACACGAGGTTGCCATTTCCATGCTTTTACCCCTTCGTCCTTGTCTTATCAGACCAATCTGTACAACACAGTGATAATTTATGGACATTTGTTTGACTTTAACACACATAACTTGGTAAGTGGAAACTTGATCTGTTGAGAGGGTTAGTCCCGCATAAAAAAACTGAAACAAGATTCAAATAATTAAAAGTGTTTACATTTAGTACCCAATAATATTTTAAATAGGATTATATCTAATAAAAAGATATCTGCATAGAAACAAAAATCACACACAAGCTGGTTGTATCACCGCATGTGAAATGTGTGTGTATGATATTAGATATTTATGAGTACTTATGACGTGTTTGTGCTTGGAAAGTTGACTTGTTATTCTTCGCATCCCTTTCGAAGAACATAAATGTCAACTTGTTAACATTGGACAATAAATAGTGAATGTCGAGGCAGCCAATTTTATACAAGGCAGTGTTTTTCTTTTTTTTTGGTTTAACTGAGAACAGCTGAAGATAATATGTCCTTATACTAGTAGTATAAAGGTCTTATATTTAAGATTATAGAAGTACTCCTCCGGTCCTTATTATAAGACCCCATTTGACTTTTTATTTGGTCCTAATTATAAGACCCCAATCCATTTTATCTCTTATATTTATGCATTTTTTTCCAAGATAATCCTTCTAATAATGATAGTTTTAGTCAATATACTTAATTAGCAAGGATATTTTAGGAATGACAACACTTATTTATTATAAATAACCAACTTAACTTACTTCCTTAATCTCCTCAAATAAATCAATTGGATCTTATAATTAGGACCGGAGGAGTAACATTTTTGTCGCGGTTCATGAGTTTGACTAAATTTGACGTCTCCCCCATGAAGTCTCCGAGTATAACAGCGATTTAACTCAGGTATTCTCCCTTTCCCCTCCTTTATACTGTTCTTCAGCCCATGAGTTCGACAAGAATTTTATTCCGTAAAATTAATTAATTGACCCTATTCTAGTTTTAAAATTTGCACGTCACTGTCCTGTCAATATATTGTCACGTACAGATTTCTTAGCAGAACAGATAAGAACATCAAACGATAATTATTTCCACGACGGCATGACTGTTTAAGGAAAAAAATCAGAAATCGAGGGTGGACCCACGCAAGGACTGGTCCATTTGCTTTTTATTGTTTCTGGCCCGAGATTTAAATGCTATTTTATTCAACGAGGCATTTAAATTTAATTTAATTTTTGTGTATAATGTAGAAGCATCGAGATGTAAAATAGACATGATTTGTATTATGCAGGGTAACGACGTAACGACCGGAGCCCCCAGCTTGACTTTGGATTAGTTTGGTGAATGATGAACTTTGTGAAAAGCATGATCGGACAGCGGGGGAGGAAAAACAAAACAAAGCAAAAGGAATCAGGCTTGACAGCTTTAAAAAAGATAGCAGAATAATCAATGATAATAATTTTTAACGCCTCTACTTTTTATCCCCCTGGCTTTTGGACTTTGAATTGCACGACCTCACAATTTACGAGTAAACTATTTCCCCCAATAAATAAATAAATAAATATATTTATAAATTTCAGGTCGGCAAAGTCATGGTAGTGCGTATGCGTACGCCTTTCCTTTGCCAGTTTGCTTTTGGGCCTCAAGTGGTATCCAGTCAGCATTAAACTACGCGGGCCTTCCTTAAGCTCTAAGTATTCAGACATCTTGAAGAAGGGCGATCCGCAGGATGTACTTCGGTAAGTTCTTCGTTTCCAGTATATAACATGGTGATAAAGATATAGTATTATTTTAATATAGTTGATACAGGCACCATTGAAAATCTTTAAATTATATACATAATTATTGGCACCGTTAAACAGATTTCAGTAGCCGGGAGGTTCTTGTTGAACTCCCTTTATTCCTTGAACCGTAATTTTTTTTTTTTTTTTTGTTTTGATGCTAATTCTGAACTTTAGAGTAAAAGCATAAAAGATCCTAAATCGATAGCTAAAAAATTTCAGTGCCGTCACTGAAATATTGTAATGAGAATCAGCGGCTTTTACCAAATTAAAGCGTATCTTCTCCCGGATAGGTCCCCATCCTTTCGTATTCATAAAGCTCATGTCATGTGCTCTGTGCAGTCGAGGAATGTGGAAAATGTGTCATGTTTTAAGTTCCTATATCACACCAAAAAAGATAAAGTTTTGGGATTAAAGAAAAGCTAACCCTTTTTCCTCGCGTCTCTAGAATATTTGAGCAAAGATAGTTGGAATCATTGGCATGATAGCAACATTTCTTCATCCAAGTAACAGGAATTTGATTATATATATGAAATAAGGGTTTCTATAAAGCCATCTGTGTCCAGATGCCAGTAATATTCGCAATCACGTTAAATCAAACTGAAGTCTGGGCACCCTTCCACGATACAATGTCTAGCGCAAACGATCAAACAGTTCACTTAACAGGCGCCAATGATTACAATGAGATAATTGCATCCATATAGTTCTATCCCAAGGCGGTACATTATTATCTGGACAAATTAAAGGTGATAGACCATTTTATATGCATGAAAAACCCACTGCTCAAGACTGGATTAGAACTAGTAGAACAGTAGCGTCTCCCGTAAGATCTTACTCTGCATCCGCGAATCTGATGAAGAAGGCCATGAATAAAATTAACGGCCAAATTCAACATGAAAGCACAATAGAATTGGCAAAGTCGATTGGAAAGGTAAGTTTGCCACTCACCCAAGTTCGGATAGCTTCAGGTGAGCTTCAGCATAGTCCGCAAAGAACGCATCCTCGTCCTATATCAAAATTTAAGCACGAACACTCAGCATTCAAACAAGATTATTCATCCAACCACATAGCGACCCATATTAGGAGAAGAGGGATGGGGGACAATGCAGAGACTCACGGCAGCATATTTTTCAACAAGAGGACGGAAGACTGGATCACTTAGAAGGGCCTTGTCTGATGGCAGCTGAATCAAACCTTCTCTCTCTCCACTGAGAAGTTCCCTGTTTATGTCGAAAATCACATTCAGATGTTTTAGCTGGTCCATGTATCCCCTTCCCACCTCAGGATTCTGAGAGCTTTGTTTTCCCAAAAAATTTTACTCAACTAATTAGTTGTACTAGCTATTTAGCATTACTTCGTTAGTCACGTGTATCACAAACCATAAAGGCAGATGCAGTACACTCCCTGGTGGCATTTTCCTTTACCAGTAAAGTGTGCAAATTATTGCTCAGTATTTAATATTATAAAAAGAAGTTCCATCACCAAAAACAACGAAACAGATCATGCAAGTAAAAGCAATTACATCGTCAATTTCAAAAAATAAGAGAGATTCCTTACTTGAAATAAGAGTTGTCAAAAAAGAGAGGGTTTTGTGTCCAAGGTCCCTCAAATCCAGAGCGTTCTTTGTGGCACCTTCCCTGCATAATGATCGATTACGACAACCAACATACTCTTTTACTATCATGCTAAACGTTACTCTGTTTATTAAACAATAGAAAGTCCAACAAAGAAGCTAGTAAAAGATCTCCATTTTTCAGATCATACCAGTGTGTGTCCACCAGATAAAGCAACTATGTCTTTATCAGACAGACCCATGTGGCCAAAGATATCCCTTAAATGATCCGAACCTGTTTGATTGCAATGGTTTGTAAAAACTTCACGAGTTAACAAGAAACTATTACAGATTTTAATGCATCTGGATTACAAAAACTAACCTTTAGTGGCATTTGGTAAGCGACCTTCTGGAGGGGGTTCAGTTTTGTCCTGGGGACAAAAAGATGCTTGTCATCTTCTCGTTTAGCGTACATGTCAATATTATGTTCAGATTAAAAAAAAAAGAAAAGAAAATTAAACCGTTTAAAGACTTCATAATACTAAGACTCAAGGCCGTTTACCAAATTCATAATGCACTAATGGTGGGAGCACAAATTAACCAGAGCAGGATTCAGGAAGAAACAGGAAACACATTAACTCATCACAGATACAAGTTTCAGGACGAGGAACAGAGTCGTGGACCGCCCTATGCTCCAAAAATCCAAAAGAACGCCATTCATCTCATAAGAAACTTAAGTTTTTTTTACAAGTTCACAATCAGATTCTTTAAATCAAAAAAAATTTAAGAGATCTAATCACGTGAAATGAGATGCAGACTGTCTCCGAAAACCACGCATGATATCACCGGAAAGCCCACGGATGTTAATGCAATAAAAATTGCTCCATTATTCTAATTCCTGAAACGTAGAACTCGCAGAACTAAGGCTGTGATGAAGTTATTTATGAGGCTGCGAATACGAGTGTCAAATTAAACGGCTTGATACATATGTTTAAGTAGTTTGATCACTTTAATCGCATCAGTTGCTTCAAAAACAGAGATCCGACTACTGAATCTGATTGGAGAGAGACTCTTCGGGAAAAATAAATAAACAAGATAAGTCACTACACCGGCAACATTCAACGCTGACATATGCAGATCAAAATAAAACGTATTAATCATGATATATAAAGGATCAATTCGAAATATTATCATTGCTAACCGTTCTCCCAGGGTGGAAAGGAATCTCGGGTCCTCCAGTAACCTCCACTGCCACCACTCCAGCCAACTTCAGTAAAACACAAACACAAAGCCATTCATAAGATCAGATTTGAGAAAATTCATTGACAGCTGTTTAACCGTTTGAGATATATATACCTGATACAAGTCAGCGTAGGATATTATTGGAAACTGCTCCTTGATCGGTTCCAGAAGCCTGACCGCAATGTCAAGACCATTGTTAGCCTCATGCGCGAGCTCTGCTGGGTGCCTTATGGTACCAAATGGTCCTCCTGTCTTCGTCTTCACATCGTAGGTACCAGCTGAGTGCCATCTGCATCACAAATGATGGCTTGCAGCCCCGTAAATACTATGTGCTCTTGCCCCACACACACACACACCCGGGCACAAAGATAAAACTGATAGAGAATTCTTACGCCAATCGGAGCATGATGGGAGCACAATGCTTCTCTTGAATAAGCCCTCTGAGCTTCTTCTTGCACTTCTCGATAGCTTTCTGATACTCCACGCTAACAGCTGGGTAACTCTTCCCCATGGCTATAGTAGATTCTGGAGCAGCAGAAAATGATAAATAAGCGATCGAGCAAAAACTGCCAACTCGATCAAATCTTGAGCTATTTCGTCACTTAAAAGTTTGAAAATGGGAGAGAATTAAATAAAATGACGATATGAAGTTCTACTGTTTTTTTTTTAACAGCGATATGAAGCTCTAGTGTAAAACAAGACAACAGCTCGCCTAACCGTACGAATTTGATTGCGTTTCATCGGCAACCAAAGCATAGCATATCAATGAAGGAAAACGATCAAGGCTTGGACAGAAACAAATGCTGAAAGTTTGAGGAAAAGTGAGGAGGGAGTAAGGAAAATAGCTGACCTGATTAACCAAAAGAAGGAGAGCGAGACCGCACGATCAAAGCAGTAGACAAAAATTTGGGCGAAAATTGAGCAATATATATGGACAGTGTTTGGGGTTCGCTCGAAGATTCTAGCGTTTGTTTAGGGGTGGCTGAATTCAGGCCGTTGCTCCACAGCAAACGGCCAGGATAATTGCATGCTTTGGCTCCTTTGGCCCCCGGCCGGGGGTTGACAGTTGACACATCGTCTAGGGACGCGAGGAAAATTGTGAAGCATACAATGAATAAACAAACGCCACGTGTAATTTAGCAGTGGCGCCACCCATGCTTGCAACAGTAGGTACCTGCTTCTGATTCTGCTTTCCCCATATAGGAAAGAATTATTCGCCCATCGCCTGCTCTTAAATTAAATACCCGGAATTTAATATAAGGTTTTATTTTATTTTTATTTTAATTCCAAATATAAAACTTTAATTAATTTTATCTATCATACTTATTTATTTTTTTAAGATAATCTTTCTAATAATAATAGTTTAATCTAATAAACTTAATTAGTAATGATATTTTAGAAAGGACAATACCTATTTATTACAAATAAATAACTTAACTTATTTCCTTAATCTACTCAAACTAATCAACTAGTTCTTATATTTATGACTGAAAATAGTATTACATCATATGGCTAATTTACTAATTATCTGAACTGATAAAAAATAATTAGTGAAAATAGTAGTTAATTCAAAATTGACAATTTAGAAAATATATTACCGCAAATTGTAAGTAAATTAGGAGGATAGGTAACACCGAAAACAAATTAAGGGGATAGGCTTATTTAATTTATATATTGAGTATTGATATTGATATCAATGAGATCCATGCCTTCTTTATTTTTCCCCGCTTGAAAATTAACATCTAACAAGCTCCCACAGTGCACTTGGATAGGCAGTGATTAGATTACAACGTTATATATTTTTATATGTTTATTATTTAATATTCAATTAAAATATATTATACATATGTATTTTATTTTTGGATAATTTAATAAAGTTATTTTTAAAAAAACGACAAATAAGTGATAGAAATTGCTGGCATTTGGATGAACCCAGACGTCAGACGTGGGAGAGCGATCCTGCACTAACTAAGCCAATCAGGATAGGACGGGCGTATCGTTATACTACTTTCGTTATACGACCTGTTGTCCTAATTATAAGATACTGTTTGAATTTTAGTTTGATTCTAAATATAAGACTCTAATTCACTTTATCTCTTATTTTTATTCATTTTTTTCCAAATTACCCTTGCTTGTATTACATTAATATAATCAAATACTTTGTCTCTTATTCTTATCTACTTTTTTTTCCAAATCCTCTCTCCGCTTCTGATTTTTGAATTAAAATTTGATTAGGTTAGTTTAAATATTTTATAAATATATTAATACACTTTTAAATTATTAAAATAAATATATAGATGACTCAAATTGTTAAATTTTAACCGCCCCTGTTTAAAACGCAATGAAAAATATTTAAAACATTAATTTATATCTGGAAAAAAACTAAGAAAGAAAATAATAGAAAAATTAAAAAATTATTTTAAATTTATAAACTGGCGCCTTGTGACTGTAGATCGGGGAAAATCTGAAATTACGAACCAGAAATTAGAAATCGAAGCGTAGAGAGAGATCTGATTAGGTGCTGTAAAACTGGGGTTGGAAAAATAGCTCGCGATTGTGCAGGATTTTTTTTAAATTTGATGAGGGTACTTTTGAAAAACAGGTGCTATTTTTTAACCATTAACTAAGTTAACTAAGTTTTTAAATTTCTCTAAATTAGTCAATTGGATCTTATAATTAGGACCGGATGTAGTATTACTAATAAATAACTTAATTAATAAATTTCAATAAATAACTTGATAAATAAATTTTCCTTCGTCTAGCATGTCTAAGTACACTGGGTTTTTTTAATGTTATGAATGGATGCTAGTAGATGAGTTCATGCATTTACAGTTACGAGGTTCACTGAAAAAAATATGCGAGTGCGTCCTGCTACTGATGATCAAATCCAATTAGAGGATAGGATAGAACGTTATAGTGATGTCATTTTGAGTCCTAGGGACGCTTTATGTGTCTATAAATACATATCTCTTATTTAATTAACTGTTCGGAAGCAGGTGAGAAGCTAAAGATGGATAAGAAAATGAAGGACTTGCTGGAATGGGAAAAGAAGTTGGAGAAGGAAGAGGAGATGCTATCAAAAAGCAAAAGGAATCTCAACGAAAGAAAGCAGAGGTTAAACGAAGCTGAGACAAAATTGAAGAAGAAGGAGAAAGAGCTTCAAGATATGCAGAAAAATATTGACGCAGCGAGGATGAACTTGGACACGAAAGAGAAGGAGGTGACTGCGTTGGCGAAAAAGCTCCGTGACATAGCAAAAGCCGACAACAACCAAGAGCTTAATAAAAGTACTGTATTCGATGCAAAAAATCAGGAGTTTGAAGTGAAGCTGAACGAAAGAGTAGGATCTTTTGAGCCGAAGAAAGGACCTTTGAAGAACAGCAGTGTAATAAGTTCACCCATTCGCTTAGAGAAGAAGAAAGGGCAGCTGGGAAGTGAGGAAGGAACATTTTAAAAGTATTTCTACCAGGCCCCAGGAAACTCGAAGACTATTTTCCAAGGCACGCCCTGGAATGAAGATGAGTTTACGTTCTAAATCAAGGATGAATGTTGGAATAAATAATGTGTGTGTATATAAATCTATTTTGATTTGGATTCATGTACAGTTAAGCAGTCAGGCTTGTTTTTGTCATGGAATATTGGTTATAATGCTGCCATGGAATTTTTTTTTTTTAACATCAGGTTAATACGGTCAAAATTCAATCTTGTTTTTCGTTTTTTAATTTCCATCCTATCTTCCACAAACTACATTTTGCAGAATGAAAAACTGTACATGAATCTTAAGCCCCCAGGTGTAGTGGAGTGGTGCGAAATGGAAAGCAAGTGAAATTGCCGCAGTTGCCAAGTGCCATTGTGTCTAAACAAATCTGCACCATCCATTACAAAGTTGTCAGGAATTCAGTAAGCTTAACTTCAAGCTTAACTTGTACCAAAAAAAGAAAAAGAAAAACTTCAAGCTTAACTGAAGCTCGCTCTGGAAAGTGGCGTCTGAAGAAATAAAGGAAGAGAAGAGACGCATCTCGAAATGTAAGAAGTGTTTCATTAACGACCCAGACCCTTTTTTGACAATAGATCTATCAAATGGATGTGATTGTGCCACGCAACTCCACTCGCGCAGTACAAGGAGTAGCCCACTAACCCGTCTCACGGAGTCCATATGCCCTTTTTTTGGGCCTGAAGAATCCACATCCGTTTGTGGCTCCTGGATATCATATCACTATATCAGAGAAGCACGTAGCGTTATTCGACTAGCCCGTTTGGTTCCCTTAAAAAAAGTCACTCCTATAATCTTATTTATAAGTTATTTTTAACATTCTTATTTGAATCAATGTACGAACATTTATGCCCTCCCCAAATCAATATTTAGACATTTATACTCCTCCGGTCCTTATTATAAGACCTAATTTGACTTTTTATTTGGTCCTAATTATAAGACCCAATCCATTTTCTCTCTTATATTTATGTATTTTTTTCCAAAATAATCCTTCTAATAATGATAGTTTTAGCTAATATACTTAATTAGCAAGGATATTTTAGGAATAACAACACTTATTTATTATAAATAACCAACTTAACTTACTTCCTTAATCTCCTCAAACAAGTCAATTGGGTCTTATAATTAGGACCGGAGGAGTATCTTTTATTTTTTGTCTTAGGATCATTTTATATTTATTTATTTTTAAATAAAATATAAACTTCATTTCATGATTTTTGGATGACATGTTAGATAAATACCGGCATGTAGTTATCATTTACATTATATTCCATTCCTTACTACCACCTACTTCCGGTTTTTAATATAAAAATTAGTTTAACTTTTAATTTGGTCATAAATATAAGACCATAATCCGCTCAATATCCTATATTTATCAATTTTTTTTAAAGTGATCATTGTAATAGTTGTACATGTTAAATGTTTTATCAAATTATATAGTTTTAACCAATACACATCATTAGTAGGGATATTTAAAAAAAAAAATCTATTTATTATAAACAACTAACTTAACAAACTTTCTCAACATGTTCAGATCAGTCAAGTAACTATTGTACTAATTTGAGTATAAAAAATCACACCAAACAGGTTACATGAATCCCCGACAACTATACCTATTTTTAATATTTAAATTTTATTTAAAATGCAAAAACATGTGAATATAGAAAATCACACCAAGTCCAAAACAATGAAAAAAATATACAAGATAAGTTTTGTCCAAGCATGAGTGCTCTTTTTTCTCAACCGGTTTTCAGAAATAAAATTTTTGACGTGATTATAAGAACTACTTAATTAATTTAATAGATTAAAAAAATTAGATAAATTAGCTAATTATAACATGTATGGTATAATTTTTAAAAAAATTCGTGTAAAATTATATATACATAAGTTTATGGGTTAGGAGAGTAAATTTGAAAAAAATTATAAATATAAAAAGCAAAATGAACCGATATTTTATATTGACTATTCAGGGGCAAATTAAAATCAGAGCAAGTAGTTAATATGCTTATTCCACTCCCCAAATGGCTATCAATCAAGGGCTTATTTTAAACGGTGGTAGAATCTTTTAAAGGCAGCTTTTCAATATTGATTTGCAAAATGCTCTCTCTAGTTTTTATTACAAGTTTCAAATAACTAATTCACAGATGACGAACAATTAGTTAAGTTTAATTAAAAGCAATAAACATGTTATAAATATATATATTTTTAAATATGCTCTCCTAATAAATGAAAAAAAGGATGAACAAGAATTTATAAAAAAATATGATAAGAGAGATCATGTTAAAGGAGAGATAACAAATAATTATGAGCAATATTTAAAAAAGTATGTTACATATCAAGATAAACACCTAATTAAAACTTATAAGATAAATCATATTAAGTTTGTAAATAAGACCGGAAAGAATACAAAATAAATATGTAAGAAAAATTTTATTAAGTGCTTTTAAAAATGGCAATCTCATGAATTATGGGGGTGTTTGGATGAGTTGTAACTGAATTTTAAATTTACAAAATAAATAATGCATATCTCCGAACGTGTCCCAGCCATCTGATATCAGGAAAAGAAAGATAGAAAGAGGGCTATTTTTCTTTTTAGACCCCGGGCGTTGAGGGAAAAAGTGGAGTGTGGGGCCGCACCCCGGCTTCAGGCTTTCATTCCTTAGCGGAGTAATTGCAATTCAACGAAAAGATCATAATACGTTAAAGGGTCGAATTTTTATTAGCTTATATTTAATATTAGATAGTGTTTTGAATAGAATTGTTTTTAAATAAAAATAAAAATAATATGCATAACAGAAAAAAATAAAGAAAAAATAGCATAAAAGTTGGAAATTATAATATTTTAATTCAGATATTTAAGATTTCAAAATCCTAGTAGAAAAAGTAGTACCTAGTTTAATATTTTGGAAATATAATTAAATAACTAAAATACCCATATATTTATATCATTTTCCCAAGAATAAATTGTTTGTATCCAATTGTCTTTTTATATCATTCACCCACGATCCAAGAGATTACCACACATGTGGCGATTATTACATGTTTCTTCAAACGCGGCGACGATGTCAGGAATCAAACCACTATTTTATACGAGACTATCCATTCCTAGACCGCAAGTAGTGGCTTTAAATAAAAGTGAGATGGATATAGATGGATGTTCAGTGTTTAGTATTTGTATTAATTTTAAATTATTTTTAAGTTTCATAGTAGTAGCAATTTTCAGTTTAAAAATCGAACACTTCAAATGGTTCGAATTCTGCCTAATCAATGTGCTTCATGCAATCTAATCCCCTCTTCCTGGTAACATCAATCAGTCAACCAACGAGTTTGAGTACATTAAAACAAAACTATTTAAATTATTTTATATGGAAAAACACAATAAAGGCTAGCTGTCATCAACTTGCGTTTTTTGCCGTCCGCATCCACACTTCGCAGACTCTCTCTCCCTCCTTGGTTCCATTCACTCTCTGCATCGCTTCATCCCTCGGTTTTCAGAGATTCCTCTCCTTCTCACCGTAAGTTCTGCTTCCCTCCATTTCCAATCGGCTTAAACCCTATCCATTCCTAAGCCTTTTATTGCTTGTTTTGGAATTGCTTCCATACTGGGTGAGCATGTCGATCACTTGTTAGGGTTAGGGCTTTGATTCTTGTGATTACTGATTCATGCGTCCTCATTTTCTATACTTGGTCGTTCGTTTAAGTTCTCATATCCTAGCGGGGTTCGGAAGCATCGGTGATGGGTGTACTCTGAACTACCGGTTGGATTAAGGCTTTTCCCCTTATGCTGCTTGTCTCGGTTACTGAAATCACAAAGCAATGGCATTTTGAAGTACATTTTGTGATTAGCTACGAATAGAAGACAATGTATGAAGAACTTGATTGTTTTGTTGGCACTCGAACTCATCAAAATTTCGAAAATTTTTATTAACTCTAATTTGTGTCACTCAGGGTTGTAATGCTATTCCTCTGTCGAGAAAATAATATCCAGGTTAGGTAATAACCAAAAGAAATACAAATGAAAGACGGAAAGACAGATTCCCTTTAGTTCATTAATCAGATTTTGCTCCATTCAACTATAGTCTTTGCCAGCGGCCTGGACCAGCATGAGCCTAATTTATAAGGTTTGGCAGAGACAACTTAACCTCAGGAGTGGGACAGACAATGGAAATCATTGTAGGGTCTAATTTAAGTGCGGCTGTAAAAAGCTGAGCAAGACGAATCATTGTACTTGAATAAGGACATTGTAGCCATTTTCTAGGTTACTTTGCTGTCTCCACCAAGGGCTTGCGGAGGTGCATTGTCATTTTGAGAACAAGTGATTATTACTTACACTTCTGCCACGTCAAGTTTTGTGCTCAACAATGCTGCAATAGCTTTTTGGATCCAAAATTATCCGTGTCATTTTTGAACCTCGCCCATATTTTATTAATTGGTGCTTGGTTATGTTGCTATATGATCAACAAATCATTTTAATCCCTTGACATGTTAGATTGACATTAGACTCAGCATATTAGCGAACAAAATTTTGATTTTGATATTTTCACATTACTAATCACCAAATATTGAGCATGCTACTAGTCCCCAGCCCTAAATGAGCTTTTGACGGTCGTGCTGATGAAATCTATAAACTTTAATAAGTTTTTCTTTTCTGTGTGGATTATATTGTGTTTTATGATTTTCTTTTTCTGTTTAATTCCCAGGACAACCATGGGTGACAAGGGAGAAAAATCCTGCCCCATATGCACTGAGGAGATGGACTTGACGGATCAGCAATTAAAGCCCTGCAAATGTGGCTATGAGGTCCAAATTTGGTTCTTTGCCTATGCATGGATATCTTGTTTAATATAAATGTGTGCTTGTGTTTTCATATTTCCCTTTGTTATGGTATCTGGGCATTATCCTTTCCCTCCAAGTGAAGGTGAAATATTCCGTTTCAAACTCTTCAGAGCCTCTGATTTTCTGGCTAAAACAATCAGTGAGATTGTACATGTAACATTTCCTTGATATATCATTTTTATTCATCATTTCTTTTTATCCAACTTCTCTGCAGATCTGTGTCTGGTGTTGGCATTACATTATGGAAATGGCTGAAAAGAATGGAACTGAGGGACGATGTCCTGCTTGTCGTACACCTTATGACAAAGAACGAATTGTGGCCATGTCAGCAAACTGTCAAAGGTAGTCATGGTGTTGGAGAAATTTCAAATTTTAATGCATTTTATTACTTGCAAGCAACTATTAAGTATGATTGCCTTGATGAAACAGATTGGTGGCTGAAATGAATTTAAAGGAAAAAAAGAAAATGCAGAAGTTAAAACCCAAAGCATCAGATGGAAGGAAACATCTTAGTGATGTTAGAGTCATTCAACGCAATTTAGTGTACATAATTGGGTTGCCTCTTAATCTTGCAGATGAAGACGTGAGTTCTTTTGTGCTGTCTAGCATCTTATCTTGCTAGATGCATCTCCGTGGAGCATGGGTTACTTTATATGCGTGGCTTTATATAATGTAAATTATCTTGTTATTCCTTGATTGACATTTTATTTTGGATTTTACCAGTTGCTTCAGCGTAAGGAGTATTTTGGCAGGTATGGAAAGGTTTTGAAAGTATCTATATCTCGAACAGCAACAGGAGTAGTCCAACATTCTGCAAACAACAGCTGTTGTGTGTAAGTTGTTTTTGAGTGTTCGTAGCTGTTACCTCACTGTGACTGGTCTTTACCTAATTTTTGGTTGAGTCACAGTTCTTCCCAAGGTTGACTGTCATTTGTAAATTTAGCTGTAGTTCTCTAATCAAAATTCCCTATCTTTAGGTATATAACTTATTCGAAAGAGGCTGAGGCAGTTCGTTGTATTCAATCAGTGCATTGTTTTATGTTAGATGGTAAATCACTGAGGTAAGGATAATCTGTTTTGATTGGATTATGAGATTATCTCGTCCATGTGATAATGGGTAGGTATTTGCGTATGCAGGGCTTGTTTTGGAACCACAAAGTATTGCCATGCATGGTTGAGAAATTTGGTAAATATTTGATTTGATTCATGTGTTATTGTTAGACAATACGTATGCCTATCTATTACAATATTTATTATCTTGCTGGTCCAGGCTTGCAGCAATAGAGATTGTTTATATTTGCATGATTATGGCTCTCAAGAAGATAGCTTTACCAAGGACGAACTAGTTTTAGCATTTGCTAGGTATGATCTTAACTTTTGGTCCTCGTTAAATTCCAAAAGCCAGTTCTAAACCTTGAAAATACCTCTTTCATGCATGTAAAATGGATAATTTTGCGTTACAGTTTTTGTTACACACCCCTTTTTCACTGTGTTTTGTGTAATTCTCTCATAGTTACTGGTGTGTTCATGGATCTATTATTTTTCTATTAGTGTTATGATCTCTTATAATTTGTCTTATATTGCATAACCATCAATTTGTGTGTTAGACTTAATTCATTTTTAACTCTCTATTAACCCTTTTTTTTTTTTTTGCTTGGGGTTTAATTATTTTTTATTATGGTTTTCTTTTGTTAAACTTTCGATATTGAAGGAGTAGAATTCAACAAATTATTGGTGCTACAAACAATTTACATCGGCGTTCAGGCAATGTCTTGCCTCCCCCAGCAGATGACCCTAGACATATGTTACCAGCTGCCAAACCAGCTGCCAAAATTTCTTTAGATGTAAGCTTCCATGTACTTCACTTATATGTATGTATTGGGATTGGTAGATTGAATTGCTTTCAACTTGGTTGTTAGTAACTAATTTTGGCAGTATCGGATATGAATTAGGCAGCAAGTTATCCGTTTTCATTAACTTAAAAAAAATATGTTTCATCCGCACAGAAAATGGAGAACCAGGTTAAGGTATCTTGTTCAAGTAGTGGCACTGGGAACAACACATCACTCCCTGCAGTGACCTCCTGGTATTTCATACACTTGCTGTTTTCATTCTAGCATTATTATTTTCTTTTTTGTTTTTGCAAATCCTTACTTTGCAATTTTTTTATTAGGGTTATGCGAGTGTCTGGCACTCTGCCACCGCATGCAGGTACACAAGATTCTTGTAATTCTCTGAATAGAAAAGTTGAGGCGTCTAATGATCCACAAACCATTGTGACTGGAGTTTCCAACGCTGAAAGATCAACTCTTAACACAAGAACATCAGATGGAGTTATATTTGAAGCACCTTCTAATGCTTTATTGGAATCATCAGACTTTGACCAGCGTGATGAGGGAAATATGCAAACCCATGAGTCATATGTGACTAAAGCAGGTGGTTTGGAGAAACTTCCTGTCGATGGAATGTCTAACCATGAAACATCTGTGGCAGTTACAGGTGATGGTCTGGATGTGGTATCTCGAGCCAGCAGAGGCTTTGTAGAGTTTTCCAGATCATGTGATCTCAACATGGACCAAGCGTTTAGACATAATTCAAACCGTGATGTTCAGGGATTGTGCTCTGGATTGTCTTCGCTTAACATTTGTAGTCATGTTGAAGATACATATTGCACTCCTGGTTCAGGCAATATACATTTTACTAGTAATTCTACTGATTCATTTGGAAGGCAGCGTCTGATGGAAGAAAACAGATATTCCGCCGAACAGGCAACCTGGCCAGCCCGTTGGGAACAAATTATAGTGGATGACTTACTAAACTTAGATTGTGAGCAGCCAAAATGCAGCGAAGGCTTTAATAATTTATCATCTGGGGTTTCTTCACCTGGTTTGCCTCTGAATCTAGAACAATCAAACCATCAAGTTTGGAAGCAAGATAAGGTTGGTCACCACAGTCAACCGGGAAAACCTTCTGACTATTATGATAATGGGACAGGTTTTGATGATAAAGCTTCTCCAGATATGGCAGAGAGCAGCATTATCTCAAATATTTTGTCTTTGGAAATGGATGCGTGGGAAGATTCGTTGGTTAAGTTGTTAGGTGAAAGTGATGAACAATGCACATCATCAAAAGCACCGGTTTTATGGAAAGTCCAAGACAAGAATCAGTCGAGGTTTTCATTTGCTAGACAGGATGAGTTTTTGAATGAGGCTTCTGATTTTGGGCATTCATTTAGTACCGCAGGGCATGCCCCTAGTGAGTATTTTTCACCAGGTGGTTTCATGGCAAATGAGGATAATCTGACTGGGAAAGGCAGCCATGTTTTGCCATCAAGCAGCCATGGAGATAGCCATGTTGGCAGTCAGTCCTTCATTTCATCTACATGTTCTGGTGAGTGATACAGGTTTTTCAGGTTAATGTAGTTGAGTGAACTTGTACAGAAAATTTGATTTTGATATTTTCCCCTGGGTAGTTGTATCACTTGTATGTTTGTCGAGATTGTCACCTTCTGTTTGTTTCACTAATGCATTTTTGGCTCTCCTTTCACTTCCTTAAAGCTTTAGAAACATATCACTTTGAGCACTTAACGTGCTAAACAGCTAGTTTTGTTTGGGATGAACATTATGTGGATTGTCTCTGGCAGTGCTGGAACTAGCAGTAATTTTGTTGCTCACAGGATTTATTTTTGCATGCGTGTTAATTTCTGTTTAATTAACAATCCTGCTTAGTAGTTGATTTTTACATTTTAGACTTTAGATTTAGTATATCCTTATGTAGTTATATTTATTATGTGGCCTTCTCGTCTTATCTATTTGGGTTGCTATATTATTAATTTGACCTTCCATCATGGAAATATTTTAACATGCTTTTCAAAATTCTTTCAAGGCTTATTCACTAAACATAGACCAATATTGATAACACTGAATTTCTCCTTGGATTTTATTTGCTATGTTTTGTTAGTGTCGAATGCTCATTCTTCAACGCCACCTGGATTTTCGGCATCTAGCAGAATACCTCCTGGATTTTCATGTGGGAGAGTGGAAAAGAATTATAATGCTTCTGGTATGAGTTCTTATTTTTCGCTCAAGATTTACTCCTTTTTTCTCGTGCTTCCCCTTCTTGATTGGGATGTCTACTTTTCTTATTGATATGCTTTTGTGACAATTTTTCCTTCCCAGTGAGACAATTGCAAGGGCAATATGTTCCTTCCTCTGGAAATGTTGGCAGGATTAGAGATGTTGAAGTCAGTGATCCTGCAATATTGGAATTTAGTGAAGGGAAGCTAGCAGAAAAGCTGAATAATTCAACTCTTGACATGAGGCAATCTTTTCTGTCACAATTCTATCCTGATGAAGATGATGCTAGGCTTAAGCTGTTAATGCAGCAGTCACAGAATTTGAGATTTTCACAATATGTTGGGGACAGATTTCCCCCTCAAAATGATTCATATACAACTTCAAAGCTTCTTGATCAATTCCAACCTAACAATCCTTCAATTTACCAGCAACTTCACTCCCAGCAATTCAATACTAATATGCTTTCATCAAATAGCCTGTGGGATGGTTGGAATGATTCTAGGAACTTCAGTGGTCTGGGTATGTCGGAGGTTTTGAATGATGAGCGACTGTTGTATAGCAACTTCATCTCTAATTATGAGAATATCAAGTTTTGAACATATGCTTTTGATGATCTGCCTTGAGAGGGGATTCAAATATCTTATTTTGCACCATGTCCCTGCCTAATTCTGTTTGTGTAAAGATATTGACGTTGTGGTTTGTCCTATTCAGATATTCATAGCTAAGAAATATTGAATTCTCTTTCAAATTCCTTGAGGGACCATCAACTCTATCAAGTAAATGAAAGTAGATGCGAGTCTCCGCAAACATTGTTATCTTTTCAGCTTTGGATTCTGGTATCCTAAAATCTGATTCCTCTCTGACATCAAGTGGATTATGATAGGCATCATGATACTCATTTGGGTTCTCTTTTCAGCTTCGGATTTTGGGTGATTAATTTTATTAGCGAACATGTGCATCTGGTTCTCTCATAACGTTTGGCAAGACAGGTGGTGAATGGGATGGAAATCAATTTTTTTTTAATCATCACATTACATGTCTGGAGTATTACCTAGCTCTTCAAAGAGGTTATGGCGAGTATAAGCTGATGATTTGACGAGGCATCATCTGTGCCAAAATAGGGGGCTTGGGTCAGTACCAATCACGGTGAGCTAAAAATCCATTCTTAATTTTTTAATTATGCCGTAATAAATTCTTTTTCACATGAGATTATTTCCCAACCTTCAGAATTTCTTGTCCTATATGTAATGGTCTGTGATAGCAACTTATTTTCTGCAACATGTCTGCAGTTAAGCTGGGTCGCAGGCTTTTGGTCGTTGTCCTTTATGGAACATGTGATGGAGAACTACTGCAGTAGGTGATGGAGTCCCTGTCTGGACCGACAATGTTAAGTTGGTTGGTGCGGAGCTTTTGTTTTGGTTGATGCCAAGCTTCAAATGCTCTCGATCTGCTTCTGTAAATTGTATGTCTGGTTCAGGCTTTGGAAGTAGGCGGATATAAAAATATTACTCTATCTGTTGCTTTTTTTGAGCGAATGGGAGATTGTTATTACTCGGGACTGAATTGTATTAGACAATTCTGTGAGAAGCCAATGATATTCTGTTTGCATGTATAGAGCACTAAAATCGTTTTAGTACTTGCCAGCTAATTTACAGCTTAGATTTTCTGTATTTATGTGTAGAAGTAAAATCGTTATAGTGAATGTAGTGAGGAGAATGGCGAATGTAAGCGCAGATGGTCTAGCGAAGCTTAGCTTTCTCAAACAAGGGGGTTGGAGACATGTGGAGGATGTTGCTCCTCATACTGTGCGTGCAGTGGAAAGGGATGGAGTTGACCGTATTGAATCTGAAGAGTTTGGAACTGTTCGTACGTTGGTTGGTATGGAATAGACTTGTCTTTTTGTGCTTTTGGGCTTGGGCCCTCTTTGTAAACCAAAAAAAAATATCGCTATAGTGAAGTCATTAAATATAATTTCTCTGAAAAATTATGTGATTATGACTTTTCCAGTTAATACTCACCAACCCACCATCTTAAGTTCTTAACGATGTAACGTGGCGTGTGTTCAACTAGTATGCACCGTCAACATCTTGAGAGTCTTAGAAGCTGAAAGCTGTCGCCAATTCTTGCGCTGCGAAGTTACATGTAATTGGAGCGTGGGAACAGACCCTAGTTAGCTGATCCGCCAGAAATGGTGATTCGGCGCTGACAGGTCGAACCATGTTTGGCCCGTAACGGTGAGAGGCTCACAGATACTTCGCGAGAAATAGGATGCAGATAGGTTGGGTTTCCAAATGACATGGCATGCAGTGGCAGGCTTCATCCAACAATTCTCTGCTGAACCCCTTTGACGTCTTTGCATGTAATAGAGATCTGCCAAAAGGCTGCAAGGAAACGTGGGTCGCAGACAGAGAGAGGACAACCTGTGAATTGTCGTACCGCTGGACCTGGCACCCTGGTTGGTTTGGTTGGACAATCGTGTGCTTACTGTGAGGACACCGGAGGAATAGTCGCTGCCCGCCCAGTGCCACCTTTCTTGAATTGAATAAACATGAAGCGCATTATGTCTAGTTTTGTGGGGTTAGGATTAGGTTGCTTCACACAACTTGCGTAAAGATATGTAGTATCTTATTTTGATTGTCCGCATCATAAAGGAGGGTTGCTAGAAAAGACGTGGGAGAATTTTTTTGAAAAAAATGTTGGGACTTGGGAATATACTAACAATGGGATAGAATTGAAGAATATAAAACAGGAAGAAAGAGAAAATGAGTAGAAAGTTGGAGGAGGCATGAATATATAAGACGTTAGGAAAGCAAAGGTGGATCAATTATAGAGTTCGACAATGGAATTTAACTTTTGACATAGGTTGGTGGAACCACTAGATTCCCACGGCGTTACTTTCAGCACAGATCGCTTTCAGTACAAAGGTAGCAGTTCAAGCTCTCATTTGTTAATGCTTAATAGAGACCAATGAATTAGAGTCATGTTACGCTAACCTCGTGATTTTGCAACAACCACATGCCTTGCCTGGTGGATTCTGAGGTATTACAATCGCCAATAAATCGATTCATTGCGAGAGTTTGTGCTTTCATTGTCATTCTATCATCATCTTTTATAATGGACACGTTACATTGAAGCATTCGGTACAAGCAAATTTGAGCACAAGTTTGTCAGATTTTTTTAAATTTTTAACGAGATATAATAACTAATAAAGTTCATCTCATTGTCCCAGGATACAATAATCTAGCTGGGGATTGTGTGTATTCAGATGTGTTAGTTATAATTAATGAATAATATATTTTTTCATAAGTTTTTACTTATATTAATCACATTTTTGGTTGGAAATTACCGCTTCTGTGTAATTTAGGAAATCCTATCCATTTCCCCGGTATGAATCCGTATCTCTACATTACTTCCTTTCTCGAAATCATAACATATTTCACGTAGGAAATGGACAGGACTCTGGCCTGAAAAGAGAGGCAAACAGAAACAGTGAAGGCTGTAAGTCTCGAGGGACGACGGCGATATAAACATAAAGAAAGGCGAATCAAAATCCATCCAGGAACTGGAAAGAACAGGGGTGGTAATAATAACACGGGGGAGAGAGGCATTAATTTTGCAAATGAGGAAGTTGGTAGACCTAGAGACTCAGATCGTGCCATTACAATGTAAGCATAGAGCCCAACAAAGGAAGAAAACCCCGAGTTACAGTCTCAGATTTGCCCATTCATTCGCAGCCTCGAAGTTTGGAGAGCAGAGAGACAGACACTGGATTCGAAAAGCGACAAAAAGATTTTTAGAGATGTAAGAGTACGGATGCGATAGGCCCCTCCCACGCAGATTTTCAAATCAAAAGCCTGCCACCATAATGGCTCCTTTTACTATTTACAATCACTTGCATTCGCAAACCAACCAGGCAGTTAAAAGCAGAGCAAGGAAGACCTTTAATTAAATCCATTAATTTAGTTGTAGTCACTGCCATTATTTTATTTCATTCATGATGTTCTTCTCGTATGGACAGTACGGGTAAAGCCGAGGAATGCGCGAATTACTTTGGTCCCAATGAGAGGGACGGGACGGGACGTAGAGATATAAACTCCTTAACTTCAACACGTCACACGTGGCCTCACTACACGACACTATCATTATGAATCCCCACTTTAATTTTCTCGTACTTCTCCTCTTCCCCCTTCTTTCATTTTCACTCCTCATTCTTTCCCTTCTTTGCTCTTGCTTCGTCGCCACACAAAACGTCTCAGGTCAGGTGAGCTGTTACGAATTTATTATGATACGTTCCACAGTTTCAACTCTTCTCACACTTAACGCACCCTGCTTGCTTGGTAAGACGTAAATCAATGTGGGATCCAATTTCTAAGCTCACCCGTTCAGGGGAGAGAGGCTGCTGAATTCAAATCTGGGGATGGGAGACTGAAGGCCTCATATCAAGAAGACCAATTGATGTAATTCAAATATTTCATATTCATAATAATAAATACTCTTGCAGTCCTCAAATTTGATACTCTCCTAAATATAAAACTTATTTTATAAGACATTGTCTTAAAAAGGTCTAGTATTTAAAATCAGAGGAGTACACAGTAATGATTGATAGGTTCTCTGCCCTCTTTTTTCAAATGTGCAAACCCATCAAACCAAGCAGGAAAACATGTACATATACTCATATGGGGCACACCAAGTATACATAAGGTCAGCATTTCTGACTAAATAAATTCTTTCTACTCTAGCATGCATGCATTCAAACATATCACCACACATATAGAAGGTTTACACATCACAATACACTTGTTCATTTTTTCCTTCCATCTCTTTTGCTTATATAGGAAATTGAATGGCATGTTCATCTGGAGGAGTATTTTCTTTATGAAGGAAATTCCTGCTTATTTGTAAAACTCAACAAACAATTTTTGCTTCATCTATCTTGAACATAAACAAGCTGAATATGTTCACCCAACAAAAAAGGAAAAAAAAAAGAAGCCGAATACGAATGCTGGAGGAGGAAATGCCAACAGTTCTAGTTCTTTGCTGAAACAGATACTAGTGCCGTATAAAGCACAGAAAAAGTCATAGTTTCCAAATGACCTGGGCATAGCAGTTTGCTCTGATGAAAATTAATCGATTAAACGTTAAGTAAAATTCAATGGCAAGATCTCTTGAGCAACCCGATAAACACTTATCGTCGAGCCACGATCTCCCTACCGATCAAGCTAGATGATTTTATATTGGAGCTCTGACTCACGACTTGGTTTTCATCAGCTTCTGCTTTAGAGAGGGGATGGGATGCTAGAGTTAGCGATTGATGAAGAAAACTAAGGATGGATCGTCATGTTTGGAAAGTGAATCTGACTATCAGCTGCTGGTGGTGGTAACCTTGTTGAAGGGAATCCTGATGATGCTGCAGCAGAGAAGGATGGAATCAAAGTTGCCTCGCCATATGGACCTTGGTATTGAAATACCCAGTTTGGCAGGGAATTAGCTTCCATTCTTTTCTCCATTGCTCTTTCCTGACAACACAAATGAGACTGATTAATCTTAACTGCTAGCCTAAGAGGGGGAAAAGAGAGAAAAAGATCCAATTGGTAGCCACAACTACCTGAGTGATGGGAAAGAAATCAGCACTATTCCAGGCAGAAGGATGCTGGGGAGTAATCGGGAAAACATGAGACGATTGACCCTTCAAAAACCTTGATGCAGAGTTCTCGAGCTAACAGGATGAAGATATAGGACGTTACAAGTGGAAATACATACAAAATGAGAATCAAGATATAAATACACAAGCAATATTGCAGAGCCCGTAAATAAACTGAGCAGGAGGTTCTTAACATTACCGCAAATCTCCCATCAATAGGAAGATTGGCCCAGCCATGCTGGTCTTGAAAACCATCAGAGTAAGCAGGGGGAGCAATGGCCAAGCTAAGATCAAGATTTGGGTGGCCATCTGCGCAAGTCTCAAAACAGATATGCTGTCAAAAAAAACTGCGCTATAATGACGCTTCTCATAAAGCAGGGCAAAGCAAAGAACGAACCTTCATTATCTGCCTGAGAGATTATCTCCCCATCGTATGAGCTTGGCTCAAAGTTCGTCATTGCTTCCCTCCCATTGCATTTTATAGCTGCTTTATCATACGCCCTGGTTTCATAAGATCATGGCACTCTTAGTATGAAAGAGACATAACAAAAAAACAGTCCAAAAGATAAAGACTTTCAGCCCGCAATCATCTGATATTTGAATGATAAGACCTTGCAGCCTCTATTTCGCTATCAAATAGCCCGAGATATATATACCTGCAGGCAAGCAATGAACCCTAAACCAATTAAAAAACAGAGATCGGCCTCATCGCAAAGAAACCAAGCTCTTAAGAAACTAAGCATATGGAACCCCTACCTACTTTTCAGTCGACGGAAGGATAAAATTTGAAGGCTACATATAATATAATATACACGCATGGCATACATAGGCAAATAAAAGACATGCAAAGGTCAAATATAAGTTCAATTCACTTTAAGGGTTTCTTACTTCTTTCCTAGAAACTGCCCCATGCGAGCTTCCCATCGCCCACATTTATGCAGAGTAACTCCTCTGTATTTAGAGCTTCCTCTTGAAAAGCCAGTGCTCTGTCGCCGCAGAATATGCACAAACTCTTCCTTCGTGAAATTACTCATCTGCAGAAGAATTACCACCGTAAGTCAAACTTCCGCTAAAATTTAGGATGATATGAACTACAGTCATTGAGATCATCTGCTCACTAACCTGCTTTATATCCTCCTCATAGTCATTAACATTGAAATTAATATCAGCATCAAGGCCACGGAACTTGATTGCGGCTCGATCATATGCCCTGAAGTTGAAAACCGGATCACGGATGAAATTATAACGAAATATATTTAAATCAGAGTCAGTTTGGTCCAACTAAAAACACAATTATCATTTCAATAAACTTCATAATAAAATAACATTATACCTTGCCGCAGCATGTGCTGTATCAAATCCGCCTACAAGAAAAAACATGAAATAGGATATTCAAAGCATGCAGGAAAAGGACTCAACTAAAAGCGAGAATGTCCAGAATCACGTTCCAGTGTCCAACAAAGTAAACATAAATCGCAGAAAATGAATTTCTATTATCACCATGGTTCCTCGCTTACCCAAGTACACTTGTTTCCCACAATCCCTGCACACAGTACCAAAAACAGTAGGTTCAGAAAAGACGAATGAAAATGAAGAACAAAAATAAGGCAAAATATGTGTATGTAGCGTTGCAAATAATCGGTTATCTACGATACCGAACAGTATATCGAATTTTCGGCCACTGACCATATATGTGATTCCCATCTTCCAGTTCTTCGATAAAATGTAACACCGCGATACTGTGAGCTCCGCGACCTCGGTCCCCGCCGACTCTTCTTGACCTGCGCTCTTTGAGGAGGCGGCGGCGGCGGCGGCATCCTCTGTTCCGGAGTTCCACCGGGACCCACATCCTTGCACAGGAAATCCAGCCATCCCTTACTTGAAGACGAACCTGGAAATTGCTGACCGATTCTCAATCCAGTGCCACGACCCTCTTCAGCACCGGCGATCGGAAAAAGCTGGATGGTCCGATCACAGACATCTTCACCTTCACCTACAGGAAGATGAACTGCTTTGTAGCTTGTGCCATCATCTATGTTATTCTTCTTCACTGTTCCGAAGTTGTTAGCAAAGGCATCACCATAAGAGCAAGAGTCTTCATCAAAAGTATTGGTAGAGGTATCAGCATTGATGATGGAAGAATTCAAGCTGCCAGAGCTATCCATTTGGCTACCAGAAAGTAGGACAAGATTCTCAGCAGGCACGTCGACAGAATTGGACGCGGAATCAGAGGAAACGACGTTGAGATTAAGATCCAGCATGGTGACTACAGAGTAACGCGCAACCGATGATTTTCAAATAACTTTTGGACGGAAAAAAGGAGCTGGATGGACTCAATCAGCTAACAGAGAAGGAACGGTCTCGACATAAAAGGGAAAGGCAGCACGAATTTCAGGGATCCAAACAAAGGGATCACTAAAAGTAGGTCAATATTGATGAGTACAACGAACCAGTTGGAGAGAGAGGAAATGAGAGAGCGCAGTAAGACATTCGGGGAAGAGGAGAGAAAGGTCGGAAACGGTGTATTTGAGACGCCGGCAAGGAGGAAATCATGACCGGCCTTGGACCTCCATGCAGATGAAAATGGAGAAGGTGGAGGAGGGGAAGACACTGAGAGAAAGCCAGAGGTTGCGTCGTTATAGTGAATATATATGAGATGGCAATTGAAGTGAAGAAGCAGCAGCAGCAGCGAGGGAGGGATGAGAGGAGCTGGGGGTGGTGGGGCCCATTTCTTTTCTTTTAGCAAATGACGTTTAAAAGGGTTTTTTTCACAAAAGAGAATAAAAAGATTTATAAAAAAAATACAAAAATGTATCATTAACAAATTATAATTGTGATATTTATAAATAATAAATAGCATATGCACTCCATTCATTCTTAACCTTCAGATTTAAAGAATAGTTTAAATTTTGTTAAAAGAATTCACAGCACTATGAAATTATGCTTTTTTTTGTTGTTACAAAAAATTTTAAAAAAGAGGTTGGGTTCGGTTAAAAGTTAAAGGTATTAACACATGAGAATTAGTCTCAGAAAGGTCGTTTCACTTAGTTGTGGATATGTCTCTCCTAACACTGTGACTGATTCAAGGATCAAACCCTCTCTCTTAATAAGAGTGTCCAACCCTCTTACTAGCTGAATCCACGGAAGAGGGTTATTATGAAATTACGTTAAATTAAGATCATTAATAGTAATGTGTGGGGGGTTCTGTTTTCTTACCGTGGGTGAAAGACATATCTAAAGAAAATTATAAATTTTGCACGCATTTTATAAAATTAAGTTATAGTTAAGAGTTATGAAAGAAACTGAAAGTGGCGTGTAGTAGTAACTAAGAGGAGGGGAAGATGCATGTTCATGAAAGGGAGAATGCACCAAATTAATGGAGGAGCTTGGAGACCAATATTCCTAGTCAGAATTAAACTAAATTAATGGGATATTTATTGGAGTATTGAGGAAAAGAAAAGTGGGAGTGCGGCAGCAGTAGCAGGGTAGGGTAATGAAAGGAGGGAGGAATCGGGTGTGACGAGACACATCGGTGCATTAGGGGGAGGGGGGCCCTGCTTTCCATGTTGTCTCATCCTCCTCCCCCTTGTCACTTCTTAGCTCTCTCGCGGGGCCCCCTCATTTCTTCTCTTTAATTTTTCTCCTTCGCCCCCCACAATTAATGAACGCCATTCTATCACCTTCTTACAGTTGCTTGCCTTTGAACCACCAAATTCGGCTCGCATTATTACTGCCCTCTATGCGCGCGACGACTTCACAAGTGATTGGTATTTATTTCTACTATTATTTACTACTAGATCCCAGAGATTTATTTTCCCTCCAAGAAGTCGCTTCTCTGCGTTTGGGAAGGATATAGCTGAAAAAAGGAATGGCTTTTTGTTACGGTGGAGAAGGGGTTCCGGTCGTTCCGTCATAGAGGTTTACAGGGAATTTACTGTGGAGGATGGAGTTTGTTGAATAACAGTAACAGTAACGGCCTCTTTTTTCCCCTAAAATAATAATAATGTGACTGAGAGACTGAGAGACTATTCCAACAAACCCACGGCGTCTGTGCATTTATCCGTATTTCGTTCCAAAAATGCCTTTCCAGTTACGGTAGTTTCTGATTCGGTTATGGTTCCGCCCGCCTGTATTGGCAACTTGTGTTGTTAGTATTGCAATGCAAAATGCTATCAAATTCACAGCAATAGGAATTCACCAGAGAATGATGTAACGTATAACCTACATTTTATGTCATCCCTTGGACCCTATCGATACAGAAATTTAGGATCTCAAGGCGTGTGCTCTAATGTACAAATTGCATTTTTGATTCTCATTATGGGATCATGAAAGCTTTGACGCCCTCCAAGTCACTAATACGTTAGATGAGATCTCACTTCCATCAACAGCTTGGTGGTAGTGTTTCGCAGCTTTCATGATTTTCCTCACAGTAATTGAGGTGAACATGTCGCACACCCCCCTTTATGGTGATGAATAATCCAACGAATGGCTTCGTATAATCTCATATGACCAAGTAATTCCTACTAACTAACTGGGCTAAATAATAAAAATTTCGATCCATCTAAAAAGAGATGGGGATCGCCCTGGTGGTGGGATCCGTTTCCCGAGAATTACATCCAAGTTTTAAATGTGAATGCATTGGACACAAGGCCGAATACGACCCCACAAAAACATTGTAAGGAGAGATCTCATCTTCCAGACGCAATTCCAGTTATCAATCGAAAGATAATAATCGTAATCATTTGCAATTGCTAATCCCGTTTGGAGAGAAGCATTACCTTCAGCTAAAAGTTAAGCAAAAAATAAGCAATAGACGTCAACATTCTCCTGATGGCTTGACCACTTCAAGTTGGGTACTCCGGTGTTAGAGCCAACCATGAGAAATCACCACCTTAATATAGTGCTATGCACGCGCCAACTCAAAATTTCTTCCCCTCAACCCTTCAGAGTGCAGAACTAGATATCAAGCATTCAGGATTCCAATATATACGTCACAACCCAAAATTTAAACCAACTAAAAGCACTAATAAACATCCTTCTTCCTTTGGTCAGTCACAATGACTTTTAATTAAGCTGCAGATTCTATCACACCAAAACAAAGCAAAGAATATCATCGTTTCAAGATCAACATGTTCGGTACCAAAATTTATTGGTGTCCAAATTGCATACACCAGACTAATGACAAACATCCGCAACAACACACAAGCCTAACCAAGGATGAGGTTGGAAGGGAAAATGCCGTAACAAATGTTCTCTATTACTCAAGCTTTACTCCCGCAGGTAACTGGTAATTGTAATCTCAAAACTGCATATATGATTAAAATAATAAAAATAGAACACAATGTAAGCTACGCCCTATTCTATAGCACAAGACTTCACTGTGAAACACCCAACCAGTTGGAGAAGTTCTCAAATTCTGCATAATCAGAGTCCGACACCATGGTTTGATACCACGCTTTTCCTGCAGCCTTAATAGCAGAAGCATCCTCCTGGCAGCAAACAAGAGCAGAGTACATACAAAGGCTAATTAAAACAATAACCAATAAAAGCACTTTTTTTCCCTATCACAAGAGGATAAAAACTGAACAGTGTTTTTAAATCACGCCTACTCTGCGGAGTACAGTAGCGTGGCCAAAGAGGTAGAGCAATTTCTAGATGAACTCTCCTCTATTTTTCAACATGGATGGATGTGCGGGTGTGTGTAACAGGAAAAACTTGTTTCCCTGAAGCATGATCCTATAGAGCTCAACTGTGACGACTAGCAAACCAAAGCGTATACCGTAACGACCAGAGAACAACGTAAACCAAACAAAACATAATGATGACAATCACATTTGCTTCCCTGAAGAATATTGTTGCAATTCTGTAGAAACAATACATGACATTAAACAACTATGAGCAAGCAACACGAATGGATGCAAGTGTCTACTATGTCTTAAAACTAGCAACTGCGGGACATGTTAAAGATCATTTACAATTACAATTTGACAATGACCATTTCAAGAAAGTTGCAAGCCATATAAGCAAACTTATGTCTGCATGCAATAATTTAAATAAATAATGATGCGAGAAAATAATAATGTCGCACCTTAGCTAGAGAACTCCTCTTCTTATCAAGCTTCTCTTTCTTTGCTTTAACCCGTTGCGCCTCAACAAGAAGAGCCATCCTCTTGGCAGTCTTAGCATATGGGTTCAGTTTCAACAAAGCATTCAGGTTCTTAAGCGGGTTCTTCTTGAGTGGTGCCCTCTTAATTTCCCTCTTGATGGGCCTCACAACGGATTGAATCTCGTCGGAGTTGATAATCCTAGCCAGGTCACTATTAACCATCTTGGCCCTTGGAAGAAAGTACCCTTTCTTCTTCTCTGAAGGCTTGTCGAATGATCCATAAATCGAATCAAGCTTCTCCAAAGCAGACTTGGTCCAAATAACAAACCTGCCCAGATGACCGCCTGGAGCTAGCTTGAGAAGGTTCAGCCTCTCGACATTAGCAACCTCGACCCCTGGAATGTTTCTAAAAGCTTTCACAGCTCTGGCTCCTTCAGTACCATAAACAATCAGAGGACCCTTGCGAGAGATGTATCGGCGATTTCTCATTTTCCCCTTACCAGTTCGGATGGAGTGGCTGTCCTTTGCTTTCTCAGCATCAGGAAAAGCGCCGATCTGCCTCAGTACCTTGATAGCTTCCTTAGTCTTCTCAACACCCTCAGCTGAGTCGCTGACCACAAGAGGCATTTCCGGCACAGACTCAATCCTGTGGCCACGAGCCATAACAATGGATGGGATTGCCGAGGCAGCAATGGCCGAAACGACGGCGTAACGCTTCTGATTGACATTGATCTTACGGTGCCAGCGGCGCCAAATCTTGGTCGGAGCGAACATACGACCACCACGACACATATTACCAAAAGCACCCTGACCAGCACGGTGGGTACCGCCGCCAGGGACGCGGGGGATACGAGACACAGCACGCCCAGTACCCCATGATTCGGCAGAGGTCTGGTGACCAGCGCGCTTGCTGACGGCATAGGGTTGGCGACTGTTTTTAGAAATGTTGGCGTGAACGAAGTTGACAATGTCGGGGCGAATGGCAGCCTTCATGACATCAGGAATTTGAACAGTTGAAGCAGCATCAGTGGCCATATCACCCTCAAGAGATTGGACGGTGACGAGCGGGCGAACTGCGGCGGCCATGGCTGATGTGGAAGAGTGGCGCCGCCGGAACGCGCAGCTAGGGTTTAGCCAGGACTAGAAACTAACTAAAGCCTGTATCCATGATTATATACATCTATGATCTTTAAAAGCCCATGATTTAGAAGCGAGCCCGGCCCAAGGTGACCTTGACCGTCCATTAGTACTGATTCATGGGCTAGCCCTTTGTTTGAGAGTTTCCATCTTCGGGCCCAATTAGTCCGGCATTTAGCCAGAGAATTTAATCATTTGTTGAGCGCAGAAACTGTCTTTATTCATCGAAAATATCTGAAAAAGTATATTGGAGGTACATATGCTTTTTCTCAATTTTTAATTTGATCTTATATGTTTTTCTATTAATTAAATTATTCAATATTATTTTTTTAAGTAATATT